GTGATAATGACAAATAATAGTATAGATCTTTAAGGAATTTTTTTATTTGTACCTTCAACAATTTCATGATCAGTAGAGAAAACTTGCGTACAATTAACGTGTGTTGTTTTAATCTGTACTAACAAATACTTATAACAATAACTTTGCAGAAACATAAACAACAAAATTTAAAACATATACTCAAAAACAAACAATTAATAACATAAGCATAAAATTAATGACCGTAAAAAAAATACCAGGATTTGTAACAATAGGATGAAACAGAAAGGAAAAAAATTGTACACGAATATTTAATTGTGCAGGTTAAGAAGTAGAAGTTCAGAATTTTTGTGTTTTAAAATGAGAGGAAATCCCTCTATTTATAGCTAGACAACAAAGGGGTAGTGTGAACAAATGTTTATTGTGCCTTATCAGAAAGGTCACAACTCTTTAGAAAAGTTATAACCCTTCGAAAAGGTCATAATCTTTCATAAAAGACACAATTTTTCATAAAAGTCGTAACTCTTCATAAAAGTTACAACTTTTCATAAAAGTCGCAACTTTTCATATAAGTCGCAACTTTTCATAAAAGTCGCAACTTTTCATTAAAATCGCAACTTTTCATTAAAGCCACAACTTTTCATGAAAGGGGAAGGCTAGTTTTGTAAATATATAAATTAAAAAAAGGAATCCTGATTTGTGGTAGCGCCATATAGGCGGGCCTAGGATTCTCTCTTATATATATATATACATGATATGATATGATTATTCTTTCCTTTATTCTAGGAGAATTAATTTATATCTGTTTTTTCTTATTACGAGTTAATAAGGGAATAGAGAAAGTTCCATTTCACAACAATGATCAGGAGGTACATAAGATTTTATTTTATTTTTAAAATTCCAAGAAAATCCGCATAGCCTGCAAATCATACGTGAATGTAAACCGTATTATAAGATAGTTTATACGCAATAGATTCGACTCAAAGACATTAAAGAGGGACCGATCTCAAACTAATTATGTGAATGGCCACCCTCCAAACCAATTGAGTCATCAATATATTTGTAGAACAAACGTGGAATGAATAGCTAGGTTTGATTGTTCAGCCAAAAATATTTATATATAATTGCTATTTGCTAGTCCATTTTATATATATATATATTTATATTTATTATTTATTAACGATTTTTTTGAGGGCAGCTATTTAAGTTAAATGCAAATAGAAAATATCTAAAACAACGGCCAATCCATCACGGCACGTCGGCACCTTTTAAACTTTTTATAATTACTCAAAATTCAAAAAGTTTTTTTTTTCTTGATAATAAATCAGCAGTGTGTAACTATCTATGACTTGTAATAATAATTATTATTATTATGGCGAAAAAAGAAAAAAAGAAAAGGAAAACAAAGACTTCATTTTCATATTAAAAAAAGTGGTATATAAGGGAAATGAAACACCCCGAATTTGGTGCAAATTATTAGTTTTTTCCTCGAACTTAGATACACCCTCGATGTATCACATGACATAGCAAGTGGTGTCAAACTCTCGGAAAAGCAAAGGGCTAGTGTTGAAAATACCCTAAACTTGGCGAGAATTTAAGAGTATATTTCACTCATTTTGCAAGATCTGAAGTGTATTTAAGTTTAGTTAATTAAATAAAAAATATTTTTAAGACAATCAATAATTCAAAAATGAAACTAATAATTCACGTCGAATTTAGAATTTTTGCAGCACGTCTCTTGTAGAATTTTTAGTTTTGGTTATCCACGCAAGTATGAAGTGCACATTTTGTTTTTTAGTTATAGGCCATGCAGAAAGTAGCTAACTTTTGTGGGGTTCCGATAATTTTGGCAAAAGAAAACCATTCATTGATTATCGCCATAATTATGGCTGAGAATTTAGTGGGAAAAAAATCAGACCAGAGACTTCATTATTTGCCATTTATTTATTTTAAAGTATTACTGTATTTATTTTGACTATGTTACATTGTTTTCATATACATTTTCATAGATTTAAAAAATTAATGAAACTTGAGAAATATCTTGAAGTTAAAGGTCTTAGAAATATCTACGAATATTGTGCTTTATGCATATCTATTATCTATTACATACATATATAAGTGACAATAACCAGGCAGGTTATGGTCGACATGCCTGCCTGGCAGCTTGGAGGGTAACTTGGTAATTTTAACTACCATGGAATGACATTATTGGTCAGCAGAAATTCTATTGTTGGACTGCAGTATACTTTTGTTGAATGTTATGACTAAATTACCCATCATTTCTCAAATAGCTTTTGCCATCACCTCCTCCTTTTAATTTTTTTTTTCCTTTCACTAACACGTGGTACTCTAAGAATTTTCTTGAAAAAGGAAATTATATTTTTATTGGATGATTACATAAAAATATTATTATAAATTATAATAATTACTCTTAAAAATTATATCAATGTTGCATAAATTAGGTTAAAGGAAATAACATATATTATTTAAAATGCCATGAAAATAGTACAAATCACAATAATAAACATCTTAAAAATTTAAAAGATATATACAAATTTTAAGTGATTCTCAAAATTCTATCAATGCAACATAAATTGAAATAGATGAAGTAACATACATTACTCAAAAATTACATAAAAGATATGATAAATCACAAACAACTTAAAATATTTGATTGACCCTCAATAATTTATCAATGTCATATACATTGAGACAGACATAAAAAGTATTATAAATCATAATAATTAACAACTTTAAATTTTTTTTAAAAAAAATAAATTAAGTTGACTCTTGAATTCTATCAATGTCATATAAATTGAAACATACACAGTAACATATATTATTTAAAAGTTGCGTAGAAAGTATTACTCCTTATGTTTCAATTTATGTGACATTTTTTGTTTTTTGAGAGTCAAACAATTTAAGTTTGACTGGCAATTTGCACATGAAATCTTCAAATTTTTTGGAATGAAATTTATATATTTGTAAACTACGTAAAAAGTACTATAAGTCACAATAATTGATAAATCAAAATGTTTAAAAGATCTATGAAAAACTTACCGTAAAAAATAATTTGTTTAAATCTCGAAATCTGAAAAGTATCACATAAAATGAGACGACAGAAATATAAATTACAATAATTAACAACTTAAAATATCTAAAAATCATATTAAAAGTTTGAGAACTCTTAAAATTCTATTTATATCACATAATTAAAATAAAGAAATGATATGTATTGGGTCCGTGCTAGCACGGGCGCATGTTGTCTAGTAATAATAATAAGTGGAGTAATACCTTATCTTACAGTTGAAGCATATTCTAAATGCTGCTTTTCATTTGATTTTTTTTAAGAAAAATCTTTTTGGCTTCTTTCATAACTAAGATATCCTCAATTAAATTATGTTTAGCTAAGATTTTTAAGATTATCACTCAAACCTCAATTAATTTCATTGGGTATTTTTTTCTACTTTCCATCAGCACAAATAACCTTATGTTTCGCCTTCAGTGAGATTTGAACATACAACATTATAATTTTAACTCAGTTCATTGATCGTTAAACCACACTCTCGAATGTTTCCCTTCCCCCACCCCACCTCAGCAAAACGTGAAAAAAGGGATTTGGAGGAGGTGGGGGGTTGAGGGGGGGAGTTACTGGTATAAACTTTTTTACCATATTATATTAAACACAGTAAAAAGGTGGGTGACATATTGGCACTATGCACTAAAACAATGAAGGTGACTCAGCCAACACAAGGACTTCTGTTTCATCTTTATCCACAAACTATTGGGTACAGATAACTTGAAAATACCAATAGCAGACATGCCGTGTGGATTTCCCCTTATATTCCCAAGAATGTTAACTTACATAATATTACACGGCTAATATAACAATAACAAAATCAATATAATCCCACGAGTGGAGTCTATGTAGGATAGTATGTATGCAGACTTTACCTTTGCTTAATAATGACAACAAATTCTATGTAAAATCATAAGTGGAGTCTACAAAGGGTAGGATGTATGGAATCTTTACCTTTGCTTAGGACAGACAACAAAATCAATGTAATACCACAAGTGGAGTTTACGAGGATAGGATGCATGCAAACCTTTACCTTACCTTTACCTTTGCAAGAGAGGGGGGGGGGGTTGTTTCCAATATACTCCCGGCACAAAAGAAATGTAACTAAAAAAGTAAGGAAGGAAGAAAAAAAGACTACCAAATAGCAATGTACAAAACAAGTAGTACGACAACACTCAACTACCTATCAACTTTCAACTATAATCTCTTTCCTACCTCCAAATTTTCCTAAGGTCACGTGTAAAGCAGATGACATAATCTCTGACTGGATGTATAATTTGACAGTTTTTCTTTCACATTGAAATAATTTTTTATTGACTTGGTGTAATATTGAGAACACAAAAAGAGGAATATAAAAATGGTTGTTTATATGTGTCACCACGTCAAGTAGAGGACAGACTTTGAAAAAGGCACAATACATAAAGATGACTCTTAATTTGGCGTCAGCCGGCAATTATGACCTTTAATTTTTTGTGTGCACAAGTAGGCACTTAAACTTGTATAAAACTGAACAAATAGACACATTCGTCCTACATGACACCTTACATGACAAGTTTATGTCCTACGTGGCATCCTACGTGTACTATGTCATGTAGGACACGTGTGTCTACTTGTTCAATTTTATACAAATTTAAGTGTCTACTTATGCACACTCAAAATTTAAAGGTACAATTATTTGTTGAAGCCAAATTAAATGTCATGTTTATGTATTATGACTTTGAAAAAAGTTAATGAACTTTTGCACTTTTTTTTAACATTCTAAATAGAGCCCACCACCAGACTTGTCTCCTTCATGCACCTCAAACCTTTAGGGATCTTGTTTTTATAAATACACATTACCTACATCTTCTATTATCAGCACAAATCATCACACATATTCTCTATAATAAAAAAATACACATTCTGTTTATCTATTTTCTATTATCAAAAAAAGAAACAAGAAATGACTTTAACACTTCAATCATCAGCTTCTTTTATCAATTTCAAAGAAACCAAAGGTGTTAAAACACCTGATGAGTTCTTAGGAATGGTTTATTTTGCACAAGCCAAGCCATCATGCCGGCTAGTCGCGAAAAGTTCAATGCAAGAAGCTCAACTCTCCCATGAGAGAATCATGGAAGTGTTGGAAATTGAGAAAAGAGAGAAGCTACATGAGTTAACAGCTAATCACAGCAATAGTAGTACAAGGGTACCTGTTTTTGTGATGCTTCCACTTGACACCATGACTATGGGAGGGAACTTGAACAGGCCACGAGCGATGAATGCGAGCTTGATGGCGTTGAAAAGTTCTGGAGCTGAAGGGGTGATGGTGGATGCTTGGTGGGGATTGGTGGAGAAAGATGGACCTTTGAAGTATAATTGGGAAGGATATGCTGAACTTGTAAAGATGTGTCAAGAACATGGATTGAAGCTTCAAGTTGTCATGTCTTTTCATCAATGTGGAGGAAATGTTGGAGATTCTTGCAGGTACTAATAGAAAACTCTTTCTAACAGTTGTTCTGTATCTTGCTATTTTACTGTTTATTTTCTTGCAATTCCACATCGACTACTTCTGTTTTGAGCAGAGGATCTATCAAAACAACCTCTCTTACCCCACAAAGGTACGGGTAAGGTCTACTTACATCCTACCCTCCCTAAATTCCACTCGTGGATTACACCGGATATGTTGTTGTTGTTTTAGTACACCACTATTTGCAATTCCAAATAATAACACCAGTGAGGTACTTACTGTCATGTTAGTACTGTTTCTTAGATCTTTCAAAGGAAAAATATCCAATGGACTTATAGATCTTAGGTTTCTAACAGTTTCAATCTTTGGTTATTTTGACCAAAGACCTATTGTGCTGCAATCTTAAGTACTACTAATAGTTCATAGCTCTTAGAGGGAATAATTCAGTTGGAATTAGAATTTCTTCATACATCTAGACTCTCAGTTCTAGAAGAAATCAAACTGTCTCTAAGAATTGTTATGGATTTTGCAGTATTCCTCTACCTCCATGGGTACTTGAAGAAATCAGCAAGAATCCTGACCTTGTCTACACAGATAGATCAGGCCGGAGAAATCCTGAGTATCTATCCTTAGGTTGTGATATGTTACCAGTACTCAAAGGAAGAACACCTATTCAAGTATACACCGACTATATGAGGAGCTTCAGAGAAAGATTCAACGATTACTTGGGAAACGTCATAGTGGTAAGATTTCTGCTTTACAATCACATATCCTATGTTATTACTTTGGTAGTGCACTCACCATACCTTAAAGCAACATCAACTGAAAACTTTAAGTATAAGCTTTAGAAATTAAAACACTCAAGCAGGGATAAATTGATGTATCTTTAAGGGAGGAACATGAGTTAGTTGGAAGCTGAAGCTGCTAATTAATGTAAAAAGAGAAAAGTTTAAACATAAAAGCCACTGCAGGTCATATTCTCATAGTTCCCTTTTTGGATAGAGAATAAATAATTCAACCAAATCTAGAAGAAGTATTGGCTGAAGTTTAATCTGAAGTAATCTAAACAAAAACAGATCAGGCAATTTTTCCAGAAGAGAAAAAGGTGGATAAGAAAACAAGTAGAGAGGGGATCCCGGTGCACTAAGCTCCCGTTATGCGCGGGATCCGGGGAAGGGCCGGACCACAAGTGTTGAGGTTGTTTCCACAACTCGAACCTGTGACCTTTTGATCACGTGGCATCAACTTTACCAGTTACGTATGGCTCCCCTTCTGGATAAGAAAACAACTGAATAAGCAGAATCAAAAAGTTACTTTATGTTAGTGTCATGTGGTCCACTTAATTTGCTGGTTACGAATCTAAAAAGTAGACCACTAAAGTAAATAGAATCATACAAATGACACAGGGGACCTCCTTATATACCCATGTTGAATTTTCCAAGCTAAAATGGTAGGAAAACTTGAAATTGACATTCTGTTTTCTTCTATAGGAAATCCAAGTGGGAATGGGCCCTTGTGGAGAGCTAAGATATCCAGCCTATCCCGAAAGCAATGGTACATGGAGGTTTCCTGGAATTGGAGAATTCCAATGCTATGACAAGGTAATTACTTGCATCTATGGCTCGAAAAAAGTAGGAAGATCTTCAGATGTAGGAAAAAAAACTAATGTCTTTTTTGTTAATGCAGTACATGGGAGCTTCATTGGCAGCAGTGGCCAAGGCAGCTGGAAAGGATGACTGGGGCCAGGGAGGGCCTCATGATTCTGGGAAGTACAACCAGTTTCCTGAGGATACTGGATTTTTCCAGAGGGATGGAACATGGAACAGTGAATATGGACAGTTCTTCCTAGAGTGGTATTCAGGAAAGCTACTGGAGCATGGTGACAGAATAGTAGCAGCAGGAGAAAGTATATACCAAGGAACTGGGGCTAAACTATCTGGAAAGGTAGCTGGGATTCATTGGCATTACAATACTAGATCACATGCTGCAGAGTTAACTTCAGGATATTATAATACAAGACACAGAGATGGTTATCTACCTATAGCACGTATGTTAGCGAAACATGGTGCTGTACTTAACTTTACATGTATGGAAATGAGGGATGGTGAACAGCCCCAGAGTGCAAACTGTTCACCAGAAGGCTTAGTTCAACAAGTTAAAACTGCAGCTAGAACTGCTAAAGTAGAACTTGCTGGAGAAAATGCTCTAGAAAGGTATGATGGAGGAGCATTTTCTCAAGTTTTGGCAACAAGCATGTCAAATTCTGGAAATGGATTGAGTGCATTTACATTCTTGCGAATGAACAAACGGTTGTTTGAGCCAGAAAATTGGCGGAATCTAGTGCAATTTGTGAAGAGCATGTCTGAAGGAGGTCGAAATGCTAGCCTTCCAGAGTGTGACTCAAGCAGGACAGACCTCTATGTAAGATTTATCAAAGAGAGTCATTCTAAGAAAGCTACAGAGGTTGCAGTAGTGTAAAGATACGGAACTGTATACATGTAATATAGCTATCCCATTGTAGGTTAGCAAAGAAAAGTGGCACATAGAGTACTAAAGTGTCATACTCATAGCACCTAGAAGAGTCCACAAGAATTTGAGCCTGTGTCTGAAATTAAACTATAGAAGACAAGAAAAAGAAGCTAAGTATGCCAATCTTTGCCTCCCTGGTTCAGAGGTTGTGAAGCTCTGGGTCACTGGAGACAAGAAAAAGAAGCTAAGTGAGTCGACCTTTGCCACCCTGGTTCAGAGGTTGTGAAACTCTGGGTCATTGGGACAGTGAGAACAATGAGACAGTATCATACAAAGATTTGGATAAGCATATTCTTTTCATTGTACAAAAATTAAAAAAAATCTGCCTTCCACATTTATTATTGAAGAATAAAGGAGCTAATAATATTGCTTCCTACAGATGCATTTTCCTGTTAATATTTACACTTTCTTCCTTCTAGATATTAATTATCAACGAGCAACATACTTGAATGGCAAACATATTGCTACCCAATGGATATTTCAAGTAGAGAAGATCACACTACCCTATTCAATGTATATAATCATCTGAAGCAACAACCGATGCTGACAGATTAGAAACATTTTTTTTTCGGTGAAGTAATTAAATTGCATTAGAAAGGCATCAAGAAGATGCAATGGTTACAACTAAAAACAAAGTTGCTTCAAACATGAAAATAACATGAAGCTAACTGTGCAAAAACCTGTAAAGCAGACAAAAAGATAAACCCCCTTAAACCCTACTGTGCTAGAGTTAAGGAGCTAACAAAATCCAAAAAATTATCCATACTGTTTACAGGGGAGAGAAGGTGCCAATTATAAAGACTAACTAAACTCCTAGTCTTAATGGTGCTTATGGGAGTTGATATTCCATCAAAACATCAGCAAGATGGTGATAATTTCAGGCTTTCGAGCCTCCACGGAATTATTTTTGAGCTCTTAGCAATTAACTATTTAACCATGTTTATGAATATTTGACAGTTTATTGAACAAGGCTCACCGCTTGAAGATATTTGTCACACCTGTTATCTTCTCAGCCACAATAAGAATGTAATAATGTTAAGAGCTTATATAACAAAGAAAAACTAACAGAAATAAAGTTCAAGTTATTCCAGATGCAAAAGGTATTGACACAATTTTACAAGATCTTTCGAGATTGTACATTTTCTCACCCTTACAAGAGGAACAAGCTAACAATGTCAGCGTCCCATGAAAGGCAAATACAAATCGGGATGAATCTGCGATGGAAAGACCCAGTACATGTCAAAAACCAGTTATCAGAGTTTTTACCTTTTTAATCAAACTAGATTTACAAGAGCTCCTCCTCCCTCCCAACCTCAGCACCAAAAAAGAAAACATAACCAATTCCAAAAGATTTATAGAACTAGAATAGTGACCAAAATACTACTAACATAATACTTCCCAGAGAGAGTTTCTACTGCAGAATTTGAATAGTTGCATGGAATGGACAAAATAAGCCAGTAATCAAGAATTACCATTCAATATCCAACACAATTACACTACCTTCTCAATAAAGAACATCGTCATACAGACTTCTGCTCAATTGTAAAGGTGATTTAGTTATCATGAACAAGGAAGTAAATTTTCCAGCAGAAGAACAAGAAAAACATGAAATCTGAATTGTCCTCACGATCTCAAAGAGCTTCCTGCCAACGTCTATGTACCTTCAATTGTCTCAGCTTCAACAAGAAATGAGGGATCATTCTCTACTGTCGTCCAAAGTCGCATCATCTTACTTTTCCTTAGCACCTGCAAATTTGAAGATAAAGATTAAAAAAGGATTGCTTTTACGAAAATTAGGTAGATTATTTCTGGTGAAGAAATGTGATAGAAATTGCTTTGTCTATTAAGAAGATGTAGCTGGTTCATTTTTGAGGATTAAAAAAATTGAGAATCGTGGCTGGTTCATTTTGTTAAAGTATCAACTATCAACTAATGGGGATCAAAGTAAAGACTACGCAAAGGCAATAATGACATGTGATTCAAGTATTCATGAACTCTGAAAGCTTTCAGTTTTCATCCCTATTTAAATTATAGTTGAACCTGATTAGAGGAGGACAGGGTATCCTCAGTATAAAAGAAGGCAAAGAAAGTCGCCCTCAAGCCTTTGATCTAGCAGTCAAAGCACGAGTTCAAACCCTGCTGTAAATAGAAGACTGGAATTTTAAGTGGAGAAGAGTAGAGGGTCAAACAAAATCACCATGTTGGCCCTCATAGATTTCTTGGTTATAAAAGAAAAGCAAAGAAAATCATAGCAGCTAGTATGCCCCAGTATTCTTGTACTGCAATTATTCCATTTTTTCCTCACTCTTCCACCAAAATCTCTGGAAAAACACACTTTTTCTAACTTTTCTGGGTGATAACCAACTAAATAATTTATTCACCTCGGAAACCAAAGATAGAACAATCATTATCTTTCCTTTTCCTTAATGAATGTCTTAGCTATTCCAGCTAAAATGAAAATAATACATGTTGAGTGAACTTTTGTAAGAGTGCAAACCAGTAGACCATGCCATATGTCAAAGTCCTGGTCATAAATAGAGCTAATAAACCTAAGACAAGAAAATAAAACTAGAAAAAAGATTGCCCCTCTCGCAAATCCTTAAAGAATTTGTATAAACTAATTAAATCGAAAGATGCTCTAAATTCTATAAAAAAAAAGAATAAATTTTACTTGCATTTGTTTAAAAAAACTTCAAATCTTCCTAAATTTATAAAATTTCTTACCTTTTTTAATAAGGTAAGTTACAAAATCTCTTAACCTATAAAATTTCCGACACATAAACAACCAAAATGGGCAATGTTCTCTTAGTATCATCCATCAATACAGGCATCCCTAAATCACAATGTCATCTTTAAGTTAACAAAATTGTAACAACAGTTTTTCCATAGCCGATACAAGCATCGTAAACTAGTAATGACCATGTTGTGACAGAAGCACAGACCAAAGTAGAATCATGTCTATCCATCACAAGTCGATATACTACTACTGATAATAAAGTAACTAATCGCATTCATATCATAACCTTTTTTCCAAGATTCATCACCTGAGCAGCTAAGGCTTCTAGCACATCGCAGTCAAATCCAATAAACAAAATACATCTAAGTAAGCCTAGAGTTACATTACATCTATACTAAGTTGTTAGGAACTATTCATCTCAAGTTAACAAAATGATAACAACAGTCCGTCCATAGCCGGTACATGCATTGTAAACTAGTAATGACCATGTTTTGACAGAAGCACACACCAAAGTAGATTCATGTCTATTCATCACAAGTTCACATACTGCAACAGATGGTAAATGAAATAAAGGCATTCATATCTTAACCTTTTCCTAAGATTCATCATTGAGAAGCTAAGGCTTCTCGCATATTGCAGTCAAATCCAATTAACATAATACATCTATGTAAGCCTAAAGTCATATCACATCTACACCAATTTGTTTGGCACTAGTTACCAACCCGAAGTTAACATTCTTAGCATTGACCATCTTATTATAAACCCCTCCTTTTCGGATAAAGAAGAAGTATGTAACATATACTCCCTCCGTCCCAAAAACATGTCACCTTTCTATAATTAGAAACAATCTAACTTTAAAAATCCCACTTTTTTTTACCCTTAATGAAATGATTTATCACACAAATGGTCAAGGAGTGTTTTAAACCACATATTTCAAAAGTGCTATATTTTCTTTCTTAAACTTTGTCAGTGCCAGTAAATTGGGACGAAGTGAATACATATTAAAGGGGGTGGGGTAGAATACCTGCTACTCTTGAGAGTGAGAAGGGGTAGGTGAAACGGAGTCAGAATTTGAATTTCGAAGATCTTCAATCAAACCTCCAAGCTCCTTCCGAGCAGATTCTCTCCCAAACATGAACCCATACCTATAAATAATAACAAATTCGTCGATCCAACCAAAACCCACTTCTTGATTATCTTTTTAATGAAATTGAACCGTTTATCTGACAGAAATTGAGCTGAAAAAAACGTTCTTTAACATAGAGAAAGATACGTATAGAGGTGATTTATTACCAGCCAGAAACAGCAGAAAATACACCTGAAATTGCAATTGTCTGAAGGAGAGTGAAGCCCTTCTGCATATTTACTTATCGAATTAATGTGAATGTCTTCTTTCTTCTCCGGCAAGATCAAATTTTTGCTTCTCTCTGCAGAGTCTGCACGAACAGTTCTGGGGTTTTAGGAATTGAGTTTAATGCAGATTTCAAGATTCAGGAAGGACTAAAACTGAAATATTTTTCGTAAACTTGAGTCCCACTACTTTATGTTTTTTTTTTTTTATGGATAATAAGATTATGCTATATATATAATACTAATAATTAAGGGGGTACAGTAGTTTCATTAGCCCTATATGGGTTATTAGTTACAGCAAGGTTTCCGAAACAAGCTAACTTATTACACGTAGTAGGCTTAACTAGTCTAGAGGAAGTTACTCTGTTCTTGTCTTTTGCAAGCTGGCATTTGACAATGTTCGGAGGGGATTAAATGATAGTAGCCATATTATAACTTGTTAGCTTGGAACCCTGTTTTGCCAAAATATCAGCTACGTAGTTCACTTCCCTAAAGTTGTGGCGGACCACTGGATTCAGCAACCTCTTCAACAGTGACCTGCAATCAAATATAATAGATTCGTAAGGTGATTGAGGATGGTCTAGCAATCTTAATATCTCAATGCAGTCTGTTTCTACTTCTATCGGGCCCATTTTAAGAGAGTGAACCAAGGAAAGACCCATGTGAAAAGCTTCTAGTTTGGCCATGGTGTGGTTTTGTGCCCTACTTTTGTTAAAAAAAAAACAATAATCCAGCTGCCTGAGTGATTTCTAACGACACCACCGATGCCAGTTCCCTCCCCTGAAGTGGTAAAAGCGCCATCCACATTCAGTTTAAAGAAGCCAGTGGGAGGTTGATACCACTTCACACAAATCTTAGTATT